GGGCTCGCGGCCCCGTCCCCTTCTCCCCCCGCCCCCCTCTACGGGCCCTGGGGCCTCATCCCAGCGCACCTTGGCAGCCCGGCCCGAGCCGGGAGCTCCTGCTCGCAGGCGTCCTCGGCGGGGCCCAGCTCGGCCTCCTGGTGGGATTCGGGGCCAACCCGCGCGGCGGCCGCCTGCCCTCCTTCGTGCTGCTGGTGCTCCTCGTGGTGCTCGTCCTCGCCTTCAACTACTGGAGCATCTCTCCCCGCCACATCCAGCTCCAGGAGCGGGTGGCCGAGCTGCAGGCCCAGGTCCAGCGCACCGAGGTGGCCCGCGGGCGTCTGGAGAAGCGCAACTCGGATCTTCTGCTCCTGGTGGACACGCACAAGAAACAGAGCGACCAGAAGGAGGCCGACTATGACCGCCTCAGTACCCGGCTGCAGGCCAGGGAGGGCCTGGGAAAGAGGTGCGAGGATAAGGTTAAACTACAGAACAACATATCATATCAGATGGCAGACATACATCATTTAAAAGAGCAACTTGCTGAGCTTCTCCAGGAGTTTCTTCGACAAGAAGACCAGCTTCAGGACTATAGAAAGAACAACACTTACTTTGTGAAGAGGTTAGAATATGAAAGTTTTCAGTGTGGACAGCAGATCAAGGAATTAAGAGCACAGCATGAAGAAAATACTAAAAAGTTAGCAGATCAGTTTTTGCAAGAACAAAAGCAAGAGGCCCCAAAGGTTCAATCTGATGGAAAAGAATTGGGTATAAGCAATCATGTAGTATCTAATAATATTCCAAAAGTAGATGAGAATGCTGCAAATAAGAATGAAGAACCCTCAAGTAATCATATTCCACGTGGAAAAGAGCAAATCAAACGAGATGGTGATGCAGGGATGCCTGGAGTAGAAGAAAATGACCTAGCTAAAGTTCATGATCTTCCCATCTCTCTAAGGGAGACCCCTGTTTTAGTTTCTCAACATGAAAATCATCAGACAATCTCCCATCTTCCAACTGGACAACCTCTCTCCCCAAATTTGGGTCTGAATTCACATGTAAACCAGGTAACTCAGATACTTCAAAACAGAACCCTTCCAATCCTCTTCAGCATTTAAATCCTGGCTCAAACTTGGAGAGTGAACCCAGAATTCAAATGAATATACTAAAGCAAGCCACCAAGGATAGAGTTGGTGATTTCCACAAATTGAAGCAAAGCCGGTTCTTTGATGAAAATGAATCCCCTGTTGATCCGCAGCATGGCTCTAAACTGGTGGATTATAATGGGGATGATGGTAACGTAGGTGAGTATGAGGCAGACAAGCAGGCTGAGCTGGCTTACAATGAGGAAGAAGATGGTGATGGTAGAAAGGAAGACGTCCAAGATGATGAAGAACAAGAGCTTCAGATGGATCCTGCAAACTATGGAAAGCAGCGTTTCAATGATGTCCTTTAAATACTAAAGGAAAATTTCACAAAACCTAAAGTGCTATAAAATGAAATCATTTCTACTTTGTTATTTTTCATTTTTGTTGTAAAGATCAGTTGTACCAGTTGTAAAGATACATTGAGGTAGATTGAAGTAAAACCTGTAATGAAGGAATGTACCCATGTACATATGTGAACTTTTTCATATTGTATTATCAAAGCAGAGACGTTTTTGGGTATGATACAATTGAGCCAAAAATGGTTAATCTTTGCATTTAAAGAAAACTAATGTATATTTCACATTTTATTAAGCTTAATTTTTTCCACAAATAGCAAGAGAACATGGTTGTACAGATTATATGTTGCACATAGCATAACCACAGTAAGAGCAGTTACTCAGCTGAAAAGGTTTTCTACACTAATGTATTCTTGTGAGCCCAACAGGTGTTCTGTTCTGGGTGTCCTTCATTTCATGCTCTTCCAGGAGTTATGCCTAGAATAGTGACATAAATGAAGGGAAACTGGGTGCCAAGCATGTGCAACATGTATACTAAATTACCTTCCTGCTCCTTCTATTTTACATAAGTGCTGATGTGTCTGGGCAGATTAGCTTTCAGTTGAAGACTCATGAAAGTTGAGATAACCTTCAAAGACATAAATATTTTGTTATTTTTACTTAGTGTGAAATTGTTGAATGCATTTTCATTTTTTTCCCATACTACCAGTACTGTTTAACTATAGTCAGCATTAACTAAAGTTTTATTTTCACAGTTTGCATTGGAGAAGATATTCATGATTTAAATGCCAGGTCCTGAAAGGGGCTAAATCTACCTGGAAATGAATCTGCAGTCAGGATTTCAAAGCCTTCCTGAAAGTTTTAGTGATTCTCTTTGACTGTGTATTTTTCAGAAATACTATGCAAGAAATTTTAACAAGTTTTTATTAATGCAAAAATAAGGATAGAAGTACAGTGAAGTATAGCTGTTTTATAAAAATAGCTTAAAGTTTGTAATAAAAAGGAAACTTTGTAATTACTTACTGTTAAGATACCATCAACCTCATATTTGCTAGACTTACAAAATTATTTTAAATACATTTTGTCTTTGACACTATTCAATAGAAAGTGTAAGCTAGTTAATCCTTGTTTTCTAATTAAAGCACTTTTACATCTTATCCCATGCCCCAAAAACAAAAGGTGTGGATCATGAAGGAAATTTAAGGTTGTTAACTCTGTTTTTCAGGACTACTGTTAATTCTCTCTGTATATGAAATATTGGGCTGAAAGTTTCTCTGAGTGGTAGAGCACTTGGCTCCTTGGTCCCCAGCACCACAAAACAGGCAAACAAACATGAACTCCCCCTGCCTCCCACGCCCAGGTTCCAGTCATAACTGAAACTTGTACAAGTTCACTTGTTGAGGTGCAAAATTTCTTTGACTTCAGTGTGAAGTTAGTGACCAGAAAAAGATGCAGTAATTGACTACAGTTTTTCTACCATATCAAAGTAAGTAATTTATGCCTTCATTATCAGTAGGAAAGGCCTACAATGAATAGATATTAACAGTTCACAAAATTTTTAAATGGAGTTAAAGGGAAGTGATATACATCCTTTGGGAATTAGCATGGGGAGATAAATCTAAAAATATTTCTAGTAATACTTCATATTTAATATTCTAAAATCTTTACAAATGAAAACCATAAGATTACTGGCCTTAGT